GCGGATGGTGCAGGAGAAGGAGAAGGAGATCCTGGCAGCCATCAAGGCGGATCTGCACAAGGTGTGGGTCGGTGGGGGATTTCTCCCTTCTCCTGTGGATGGGCAGCGGTCAGCCCTGAAGGGAAAGCGGGAAGGCCAAGGGCTGCCTTTGCTGGTTTCCCCCATGGTGCTGGCGCACTGTGGCCTGCCAAGGTCTGCTGCCACCATATCTAAGAAGGAGCTAGTCTGAGGCAGGACTGCAAAGACCACTCCTGGCTGTCAGGTTTTGGCTTCTGCCACACACTGAGCCCCATGCTCACAGACAGACTGTCTGCTGTCAGGGATCCTTTGGGAGCAGCGCCACCCGTATCAGATGCTTTGAACGAGCAGAATTTACCTTGTTTCCCTGAGCTGTCACGGTGGGTGCCTTCTCTGTCCCCTCCCCAAGCTCCCTGTCTTTGCAGTGTGGGCACAACGCGTACAGCCACGAGATCCTGAGCGTGCTGGGGGAGCTGGCCCTGGCCATGGACAATCTCACATCCTGGGCAGCCCCTCAGCCCGTGAAGAGGAACCTGCTGACGATGCGGGACGAGGCCTACATCTCTCTGGAGCCGCTGGGAGTGGTGCTGATCATCGGGGCCTGGAACTACCCCTTCACCCTGGTCATACAGCCTTTGATCGGGGCCATCGCAGCAGGTGGGGACCCGCCGCAGCCCCTGTCCTTTGTGGGGCTGTGGTTGGGGGCTGCAGGAGGCGGGAGAGGAGCTGGGGGGCTCAGTGGCCATGCTGCATTTGTCTTGTAGGCAATGCCGTGGTGGTGAAGCCGTCAGAGATCAGCGAGAACACGGCTCGGCTGGTGGCTGATATCCTCCCCCAGTACCTTGACCGGGTGAGTGTGGCCCTGTGCCTGATGCGATTGTCTTGAGGAAATATCTGTCATGCTTTCGAAGGGCTCCTGCAGGTTGGAGGCAGATCAGTTGCCCGCTCTCTCTAAAAGGGTGTAAGAGATACAGGAAGGGTTGAATTACTCGTAGAGCGTAGAGACACGTTGATGTATTCTTCCTGCGTTTGTGTAACCTAACGTGCCTGCATAATGTTGCTGCAACGTGACAGCATTTTTGTTATTCCTGATGGTGTAAGGAGGTGTGTATGTACCTCTTGTGGATTCTGTGCTGGAAACGCCTCAGTTAAGCACAAGTTTGCGTTGGATGCTGCCTGTGCCTGGCTCTTCCTGAGAACTGGGCACCGTTTGCTCAGTGGCA